ACGACAGGGTGGTGGGGGTTTGGGGGGGGGGTGGGGGGGGGGGGGGGACCAAAAAAGCCTCTACAACAGCTCTGGGGCTGCCAGGGGCAGGGAGGGGGCATGGCCGAGCTTCTACAGCCCCTTTGGGGGCTGGAGCTCCTTGTGAGTGCAAGCCCAGGGCCAAGCCAGGCAGCTTTCACACCTGCTCCGGAGGGGCGGGGCCAAGTGGCTTCTACCACAGCTGGAAGTGGGACTTGGGCAGAGCCTCGCCTGGGGCTTCCATGACAGCACCAAGTGGGACCTGTCATCTGCTGGGGGCCAGCCCAGGGCCTTCAAGTTACCTCCAGAGTTTCCTTAACGCCCATTCTCAGCTACCAGAAGTGGAAACAGAAACAGAAAATTGATGACCGGGACTCGGAGGAAGAAGGGGCATCCGACCGGCGAGGTCCAGACAGGAGAGGTGGGAGGCGAGGCCGCCGCCAAGGTGAGAGCCAGGATGGGGAAGTGAGCGGGCAAGTGGGCAGGGCAGCAGTGGTCAGGTTAGGGAAAACTGAGGCACAGATGCAGGGCCTGCTGCACAGCCCCAGAGCTGGGTCTGGAAGGGTGGCACTGCCAAAGCCCTGAGCCCCCCACTTTTGCCACACAAAACTCCTGTCCCTCTAGCCCCACCCGACAGGCACCACCTGTGCCCCTCAGTGCGCTGTTCCTGGCCCCTCCCACATCTAGATGAAGCAACCTGGGTAATTTAGGGCTGGGGACTAATTAATCCAGTTGTGCAGAAACCTAGGGAATGCATGGGTGGAGCCTGGTGCTGTTGTGCGGCCATCTTTCCACCTGCAAAAGAGCAGCTGAGGTGGCTGGACCTGGCAGGACGGTGCATGAACTGTTCTCTGTGGACATGCCAGAGGGAGAGGCTCTTTGTAGTGACACTGTAAGGAAAGTCACCTCACAAAAGCTGACGAGGGCAGCTCTGGCTCAAGGAGGGTGCGATCACTGGGGAGCTGAGCAAGGATCTTCCTCAAAACGTGGGTCTGGGGGCCAGCCAGCAGCACGGCAGTGAGGCAGCTGAATCCCACATGGCCAGCTGCATGGTTCAAGTCCTAGACTCTAGACCCAGCGGGCTTGAAAAACATGCCAGGCACACGTGTGTATGCACGCCCACAACCCCGAGAGAATGGAGATTGCAGTGTGGCCGCCCCCCTAGGGGGTAATTTCTCACTTTCCCTCTCACTGTCTCTGTCTTCCGGCAAGCACACATGCCCTAGGGTAAAAACCTGGAATAATAATAATAGAGTAGAGGCTCTTCCTGAGGCCTCGTTCGAAGCACCTTACACGGGTAAACTCCTTTGCACTTTGGGTCCCATTAGGTAGGCGCTGTTATTCGTAATTCATAGACAGGGAATTCGCTGTTATTCGTAATTCATAGACAGGGAAACTGGGGCACGGAGAGGTGAAATGACTTGCCCTAGGTCGGAGGGGTCACGGCCGGGATTTGAACCTCTGCAGCTCTGACCTGAAGGTCCATGCTATCAACCACTACCCTAGACTGCTTAAGCATCATTAAGGACCTACTGGGTACTAGACACTGGGGCCACAGCAGAGAGCACAGGGCAGGGCACAGGGCCGAGCAGCAGGAAACTTCTGGGAGGAGCAGACCTTGGGCGTGGGCCCCACCGCTGAGCTCCCTGAATCGCTGTCCTGGCAGGTGCCTCCCAGCCCCGCGCCCCAGGGGCCCCCGTAGGCCGCGTGCGCTCGGAGCTCAAGACCAAGCAGCAGATCCTGAAGCAGCGGCGCCGCACACAGAAGTTGCGCTTCTTGCAGCGTGGGGGCCTCAAGCAGCTCTCGGTGCGCAACCGCCGCCGTGCCAGGGAGCTGCAACAGGGTGCCTTCGGCCGGGGCGCCCCCTCCAAGAAGGGCAAGATGCGGAAGCGGATGTGAGGCCCAGCACGCAGCCGCGCGGTCTCTCCCTGGCCCTTATGTACCGCGCACTGGGGGAGCTCCCCGCGAGAGCCATCATTGGATGGGTGCCTTGTGGCCACAGGACAGCCGCGGTCTGCCTGAGACAGAAACCTTTGAGCAGAGACTCGAAGGGTGTGTAGCAAAGCCAGGCTGCCAAGGTTAACTTGCTGCTGCTTCTACGTGTTCTGGGTTCAGAGGTTGCGTCCACGTGGGAGCCCCGAGTGCCTCAGCTGTAAGGATGGATTTCTTAACAGAATAAACCTTTGCCAAGGACCTCTGGGCCCCTGAGTGCAGATCCAGGTACTAAAACCCAGCATGGGGATGAGCTGAGAACCTGCGAGCTGACCAAGCCCCTAGGGCCCCCTGGGGATGTGTTCTGCTGGTGACTTTATTTCGCAGGTGAGGAAAAGGAGGCTTAGAGGACCAGCCAGTAGCAGGACAGCCCTGCAGCTGGGCATGGACTGGGGACACAGGAAATGGGGCCAGGGTCTACACTGTCCCCATCAGGGTTCCGAGGGCATCAGGGGTGGCTCCAGCAGCTGGGTTCTCAGGGTGGACCTGTCACCCACTCCACAGTGGGCAGGGCCTTGGTGAGCAGTGACCTGCATTTGGATGGCGGCCAGGTAGCCCTCTGGCAGGGCCTGTTCTGCGGAATGTCACCAGCATTCATCTACAATAGGATCAGCCATGTGCCGGCCCCGTTCCAAGCACTGTCATGTACCAGATGCTTGCTAGTGTCCCCCACCTTCCTGGAGAGAGGCTGGCCCCAGGCCAGGGAACGGGTGAGACGCCTCACACATAGCCCTGTCCTCAGGAGAGCCCCGTGGCACCACAGGCAGCCTCGGCTTGTACCTGCAGGGAACAAGACTTCCTCTCCTGGGCCAGGGCCCTCAGAGGTTCCCCCCACCCCCACTGCTCACCTGGGTCACAGCTGGGAGGCGGGGGCTGTAGGCTCTGCCTGAGGAAAGCTGGACAGCATGGCGGCCAGGTCTAGGATGAACAGCTTCACCTGGGGACCCCCGACACAACCAAATCATATTGGGGCCCAGCACCCAGGGAGGCTGCAGGGTAGGCTGAGGGCTGGAGACCCCATGAAAGGAACAGCCTTGGTGGTAGTTCCCAGACACAGAGACAGATCTCAGCTCTTCTGGAGTTTAAAAGCCTGAGGCCCGGGACCAGCAGTTGGCATAATGGTTAAGTCACTGGACTCCCACGTAGTGGACTGTGGTTGGAGTCCTGGATCCAGCGACTTAAACTCACACCGGGCGCATGTGCATGCGTGCCTAAGATCCCAAGAGGAGAATGGAGAAGAAGGGATCGCAGTGTGGCCATTCCCCTGGGGGGTGATTTCTCTCTCTATCTCTCTCTCTGGCAAAAGCATGCACTCTATACGAAAAATCTCTCTTAAAAAAAAAAAAAGCCTGAGGTCAGCATGGAGGCCGTGCTGCTGCTGCCTGGGAGACTGGGCCATGCCGGAGGACCGGGTTTGTTTCTCAGTGGGCGTGGTGGCAGGTATGTGCCTGTGACCCACACCACCTGCCGGCCCCAGAAGTAAATTTTTTAGAATATCTACCTCAGGCCAGCAGGTGATAATGGAGGTTAAGGTGGCTGGATCCCACATGGCTGACTGAGTGGTTCAAGTCCCGGGCCTAGTGGTTTGAAAATCCCACCAGGTACATGTGCATGTGTGTGTGTGTGCTCAGAATTCCAAAGTGGAGAATGGAGGAGGAGGGACTGGCATGGTCCAGAAATCACCCTGGGGTGACTTCTCACTTTCCCTCTCTGTCTCTAGCAATGCAAGTGCCCTCTAGCAAACTAAAACTAAAAACAAACAAAAACTATCTCTGGGGACCAGCAGATGGCATAAGGTTATGTTGTTGGACTCTCATGTAGTTGACCATGGTTTGAGTCCTGGACCCAGCAGCTTAAAACAGGCTGTGCCCAAAATCCCCAGAGGAGAATGAGAAGGGATTGCAGCGTGGCCATCCCCCCGGGGGTGATTTCTAGCTTTCTGTCTCTGGTTCTTTGGTGAGCACACACACTCCCTATAGCAAAAATCGCTCTTAATAAAAACCTATCAGGACGAGCAGATGACATAATGGTTATGCTGCTGGATTCCCATGTAGTTGACCACAGTTTGAGTCCCAGACCCAGTGGCTTAAAACTTGCGCTGGGCCCGTGTGTGTGCATGTATGCCCAAAGTCCTGAGAGGAGAAGGGATTGCAGTGTGACCAACCCGCCTCGGGAGTGATTTCTCACTTTCTGTCTCTGTCTCTCTCTGATGAGTGCATGCAACCAATAGCAAAAATCTCTTAAAAAAAAAAAAAAGGGGGGGTGCTATCTCTGAGCCAATGGCAGCATAGTGGTTAAGGCACTGGATTCTCACATGGCCAACCACAGTTCAAGTTCCAGACCCAGAGGCTTGAAATTCACACAACATGTGTGCATAGGTGCCAAAAATCCTGAGAATGGAGGAGAAGGGATTGTGGCATGTCTATCACCCCCACCCCCACCCCGGGGATAGCTCACTTTCCCTCTCTCTGGTGAGCACATGCGCCCGAAGACAAAAACCTCTACAAGAAAGAAATTGCAATGAATGAGCCAGAAGGAGATGGCATAGTGGTTAAAGACATTGGGCTCATGGTGGACAGAAGTTCGAGGACCTGGTAGCTTGCTTTCTCACTTTTTCCTCTCTCTGATGAGCGCACATGCCCTATAGCAAATTAAATAATAATAATAATATGGGACCAGCAGATGGCATAATGGTTACGTCGCTGGACTCCCACGTAGTTGACCGTAGTTTGAGTTCCGGACCTGGCAGCTTAAAATTCATGGGACCAGCAGTTGACATAAGGGCTATATCGCTGGACTCCCGTGTAGTCAACCACGGTTCGAGTCCTGGACCCAGTGGCTTAAACTCAAACTGGGCACATGTGCGTGCCTGCCCAAGATCCCGAGAGGAGAATGGAGGAGAAGGGGGTGATTTCTCGCTTTCTGTCTCTCTGGTGAGCACACATGCCCTATAGCAAAACCTCTTAAAAAACAAAACAAAACACGCTGGGCGCGTGTGCGTGCGTGCCCAAGATCCCAAGAGGAGAATGGAGAAGAAACTGCGGCGTGACCATCCCCTCTGGGGGGTGATTTCTCGCTTTCTGTCGCTATCTCTCCGGCAAGCACATGCACCCTATAGCAAAGATTTCTCATAAAAAAAAATAATAAATAAATCTTTTTTTTTTTTTTGGAGAGTTTTTTTCGCTATAGGGCGCGTGCGCTCGCCAGACAGACAGAGAGAGACATAGAGACAGAAAGCAAGAAATCACCCCCCAGGGGGGATGGTCACGCTGCAATCCCTTCTCCATTCTCCTCTCGGGATCTTGGGCACGCACGCACACGCGCCCGGCGTGAGTTTTAAGCCACCGGGTCCGGGACGCAAACCGCGGTCGACTATGTGGGAGTCCAGCGACATAGCCATTACGCTAACTGCTGGTTCCCGATAATAAATAAATCTTTAAGAAAATGAAACTATTCCTGGATTCTGGCCAGCTGCTGTGGCCTACAGGGCCTGTGAACCTCAGGCCTGGAGACCAGGGGAATTGTGGGGGTGGGGATTGACGTTACAGTGTCCCCTCAGCTGAGCCTCGGTCTGTCCTGCGGTGGTCCTGGTGCTGTAGGGTACCTGGGCCACTCTTGGAGAGAACAGTGGTTTAGGTGGATTCGGCCGACTGGAATGGCACCAAAGCACATTCCGTGACCCAGTTCTTGGGGTTCGGCTGCAATCCTGGCCGCTGGGGCGGGACAGTAGTAAACGGGGGTGTGTATGGGGTTGTCTCTGTTATCCTTCTAGTTCTCAGAGGGGAACAGACCTCTGTGCACAGAAAAACTAGGCGTGCTTTGTCCAGTGACATTCGGTGGCGCCATTGTGTAGAAAGACAGACTGCAGCTCAATCCCTCAACCCCACCCCTCCCCTTTCTTAGGCAAAATGAGGTCTGGAGGTATGGGGAGCATTAGGTCAGGGAATCATTAAAAGTGAGTCTGGGGACCAGCAGATGGCATAATGGTTACATTGCTGAACTCCCATGTGGAACCACAGTTCGAGTCCCAGACCCGGCAGCTTGTATGTGCTCCAAATCTCTAGAGATAACGAGAAGAGATTGTGGCCATCCCTCCTGGAGGGTGGTGGTGATTTCTTGCTTTCTGTCTCTCTGTGTCTCTCTGGCAAGCACACATACCCCATAGCAAAAAATCGGCATAAGTGGTTAAGGCACTGGACTCCCACATGGCCAGTCTCAGTTCAAGTCCTAGACCTGATAGGTTGAAATTCATGCCAGGCATGTGTTTGGGTGTATGTGTCTAAGAGCCCAGGAGAAGGGAGGGACCGAGCATGGCCATCCGCCTGTGTGTGTGTGGGGGAGGGGTAATGTCTCACTTTCCCTCTCACTGTCTCTGTTTCTCTCCACTGAGCACACGAGTATAGCAAAAACCTTTAAAAAAAAAAAAAAAAAAAGAGTCTAGGTGGGCCAGCTCTGTAGCCCAGTGGTTATAAGGCAGCTGGAACTGTGGTTCAAATCCCGGACCCGGCGGCTTGAGAAACACTGGGTGCAAGTACTTGCAAGCAGGAGAAATGGAGGGGGAAGGGTTATGGCATGACCACGGCCTAAGGGGGATGCTTTCTCTGTCTCTCTGGCAAAGCACATGTGCCTTCTAGCAAAAACGTAACAACAAAAAAAAGAGAGCCTAGGGCCAGATGGCGGCACCATGGTAAAAGAGGACACTGCGAGGCATTTCCCCGGGGGAAGGCTCCCAGTTCAAGTCCAAGAGCTCCTTGCCTATGCTGGGGCACATGCTTGCCCGTGACCAGGGCTGGCTGAAAGCCGAGAGTGGGACCCTGTTGGGGGTGCTGGGTCTTTGCTTCTCATGGAAGGCAAAATGGGCGTCTTGACCTCCTGGTTTCTTAGGGATGTTACACTTGTCTGTGTTGTTTCATCTGGGGAGAAGAGACGGACTGCTGGGTAAACATATCATGTCTAGGGACCAGCAGACAGCATAGTGGTTATGTTGCTGGATTCCCATGTAGTCGATGGTGGTTCGAGTCCAGGACCCGGTAGCTTAAAACTCACTCTGGGCTGGGGGCCAGCAGGCGGTGTGGTGGTTAAGGGCTCTGGATTCCCACATGGCTGACCATGGTTCAAGTCCTGGACCTGGGAGCTTGCTTTCTCACTTTCTCGCTTTCTGTCCCTCTCTGGTCAAATTTAAATAAATAAATATATATTTT